GGGAGATAGTAAATCAAAATGGGCACACAGAGGCCTTCAGTTGTCAGGTGGTCTATGGTAACATGGTCTTAGATGGGTTGTGGGCTAGGAGTGGGGCTTGGGGGTTGGGGGAGGCAGATGGTGTTAATTTTATTACTGAACTTAAATTTATAGCTCTCTTCAGCATATGTGTTTCACAACTATAAACAAAGATTTAAAAATGAAATATGACACTGCAGTTCTAAGTTTACAATCTTGTTTTACAATTTGGTACAAGTATGAACTTAAGAATTTTCAAAATACCATAACTAGTCCTAGGCATTGTAGAGAGTTCGTTTTTTTAAAGTATTCAATATTAGCTTTTTTTTTTCAGCTTTATTAGAAAAATAACACCTTTCTTTATGTATACCATCCCTGTTTCGAGTCAATCCTCAAACATTCTTTTTCATATGTGAAGTGGAAGTAACAAAGCCAACGTCACCAACTACAGTAAAAATTAAATAATAGCATAATAACAATTATGACTGTTTATTGAATACTTAACTATTGTCAAGTACCAAATGCTTTACGTTATCTTTACCACAATAAGAATAATAAGAGGTATGTACTGCATAAGGTTGTTAAGAAGATAATTTAATTAAGCACTAAGTATTGCACCAGGGTCATAAATAATACTTTACAAAAAAATACACACAATATTGTAACCCTCCCACCAATCCCGTGAAATAGAAGCATTATATTCCTTATTTGGATGAAGCCAGAGAGTCAACAAATGGCCAGAACTGGAATCACGTTATTGTTACTCCAGCATCTGTGTTTTTAACCACTGTGAATCTGGGGTATTTGATAGAAATTTATGAATTTGTGCACTGGATGAGGAAAAAAAGTTGTACAGTTTAAAGATCAGACATTATGATGCTAGGAATGGTATAAAGGTCAACTTTATAGAATACAGATGAATTTTGAAAGTCATTGGGCAACATTTACTACTTATGATACGTTTGAACCCTTTGCCCTTTATTTCAAAGGTATCAGCCCATTTAAAAGCGGGCCTTGTGAATTATTGAAAGATTTTAGTTGTATCAAGTTAGTATGTAAAAATTGGGTGATTTAGTCTTGTGACCATTTTCATATTGAAATATAAAATTCTTTTATTCCCATGATCTAAAAACAGGTGTGTTCTTAATGAGATTGCATCCCTCTGATAGGAGAAATTCTAAATGCATAGACTGCTAGTTTGTGGAAAGTGAAGCACATGGGGTTACATCTACAGAGTGGTCTGTCTCCATTCCCCTCAGCTGCCTAAATGATGCAGGGACATTATGAAGAGTTATGTTTATCCCTGTGGGGGCCAAACAAACTTTCCTCTGTCCTCAAGGTTCTTATGTCTGGTCATATAATCAAATAGACATGAGACAGATTAGCAGGAGAAAATAACCAAATTTAATACATACATCTGTATGGGAACCCCACACATGTGAGAAAGCCAAAGACCCCACATGCACCAGGGGTCCAGAACCAGAAAGGGAACATGGGTTGATGAGACACACTGAGTGTGGGATGAGTGAGGTGCCTTGGGGTTCAGAAGGTCCCAGCAGGGAAAGCACATGTTCAGGAATTTGTTTTCCCTGCCATAGATTGGTTAAAAAAGCCATTTCTGGTGATAACTCTTATCATGGGCCAGGCTTCTAATTTCAATTCTTCTAGATGGTTGAGGCAGGGGGCAGAAGTTTCTCTTGAGCCTGCAATGTCCCAGTTACCTTTAGCTCAAAACAATCCACATACTACTGAGGCACATCTTGGGGTAACTTGTTCTGAACCCCATACTTCATAAATACAGGATACACTTATTTAAAAAAATAGCTCTCTGACTGCAGAGGTAGCTTGTGTAGTGTGGTCGGTACACGTTTGGTTATTGATTGCAAGTGACATTCTAACTGTACAGTAAAAAAATAGGTTCTTGATACGGAATGAAATAGTTGGGAAACTCCTAAAAAATGTGACAAAACAAGATGCTCTCCATTCATTTTTGTTTTCATGCTCTTTTATTTCTATTACTTATTCATTCATTTGCAGATTCATAAGACATTTTGTGCCTGGCCTTGGACTTGGTACGAGAATATGAACATGAGTTCAGGTTTTAAGAGCCCACGTATACAAATGCATCAGGGAAATACACAATCAAGGAATGAAGAGGAAAGAGAAAAGAATGGAATACAGTTTAAGAACAGTGCTAGCAAGGTGGGAACACTAAATATGCTGAAAGTTACACACACACACACAAACACACACACACACACACACAAACACACACACACACACTAGCAAGCATGTCAAATTTGCATGTGGCCCGCCGGCTGAAAGTTTGACATGCTTGCACAAGTGCCTTTTTAGCCATATTGATGTACAGAGCAAGGAAAAACAACAACAAAAAAGGGAGGATCAATCGGTTGTTTGGGCACATGGTACAAATGCAAGAGATGGCATCGGGGAAAGAGAAGCTATTTAATAGCTACTTAGCTTTCATTTTGCTTATTAAGCAGAACATCTTAAAACTGGAAAGCATTGAACAATTATGATTTGAAATCCATAATAGGTGAGAGATGGAATTACTTTAAGTTGAATTTCACAAATCACCAATTTCATCGTAACCATGTAAAGGAACTATTCCCCCTTCCCTGCCTCACACATCCACTGATTAGCTAAGAAATCTGAGGCTCAGAGAGATCACACAATTTGTAGGTGGCAGAGCCAGGATTCCTAATAAAGCGCGTTTTCCTTCTAAGCTATGCTCCTCCCAATATTTCCCATGGCTCCCCAGAGTTGCCTCAAGTCCAGATCCCTCAGGACTCAGTTCTCAGCAGCCCTAGATTTATCCTTAATTTTTCTGAGCTTGGGACCTTGAATTATGTAGCTCCTAAAGCTTGAGAACAAAACTCCCAGAGCCAAAGACCCAATACATGAGTTCTGAAGCTTGACTCTCCTAAATAGGCATCTTTAGCTATTTGAGAGTTACCTAAACTTTCACTTTTCAGACCTACGGTGTAAGTCCTAACTGCTGAACTGAGGACAGCAATGGAGGCCAGACTCCAGCTCTAACCCTGAGCCCGCAACCTCCAATTAAACTGAGCCAAGAATCAGAAATCCCCTGGAGGAGGGAATTCCAGCTCTAATGGACATCTTTCTGCTTTCTCTGGACTATTGACTTATACAAGTGTGGTTCTCTCTGCCTGGAGGGCTTCTTCCATTCTTTCCCCTCTGCTAACTTCTCTCTCATTCTTGGAATAAGAGGCATCTCTTCAGAAGGCTTTCCCTGACCCATAGACTGAGTTGAAAGTATTTGTTATTCAGTTACATAGGTCATCACACCTTTCCTTTGATAACATTTATTGCCCTGTAATCTTTTGCTTACGTCTCTCTTTTCTGCCATACGTAAGTGTCTTTTTTCTGGTGTATCTCTCATGTGTCTAGCACGAACTGTAAATATTTGAACTAATAACTGAAAGAATAAATACATGAATGAATGAATGAATGAATGAACTGTTAAGATTCTGGTGTGGAGCTGAGATTTGATAGTGGTATCTAAAGCCATACTTATCAGCAAAGGAAGGCATTTCACAAATTTTATTCCTGAATAAACTGAACAATGCGCTGCATTGTCCAACCTCCTCTTTCTCTACACTTGAACTCCCTTAAACATGTGGGCTCATATAGACTTAAATCTGCTCTGTGAACAGTGGAGCTAGCCCTGTGGTAGAGGTTGAGAGTACGTTGCAGAGCTATTATTTAAGTTAATTTCCTTAGCACCATTGTCTCCAACAGTCAGCAGCTTGGGCTTGTGCTGTATGCACAATTTTAGTAATTCTGAATGTTTCTATGCCATCACACCCTCCTTCTCACCCTCAGAATCAGAGTTGTTCATTCTCATCTGAGCATCAACCTACAATGCAGATGGATGAATCTTAAAGGCTCGTTTTTAAAGATAATGGACTGCCTGAAATTGAATGTGGGTGTCTTTCCTGACAGCTTATAGAAGGGAGAAATAAGCTCAGAAAGATGAGAACCGATGGTGCATCAGTGACTTACAATAAGACAATTGCACACTTACCATTTTCTTTGTGCAAATGTCTTCATCAGTGATTTCTGAAGGAGTTAATCATGGCAGTCAAGTTCACTTATAGAGTGTGTGCTGGGTGTTGTTTTCTTGGCTTCCTGGTCCACTCTCCACCATCTGCAGACTGCCCTCTGCCTCCGGCATAGCGGTCCTGTGTGGCCACAGACGTTTGGTTCGGTACAGAGCATGTGGAATAGCAGAGAGCAGGAGAGTGTGGTCAGGGTACCAGTTCCCCTGGATCTCTCCTTGAGGGTCGGCTGTTACCCGCTATTAAATGTCAGACACTCTATCAAGCAGCCCTTGCCTTACAATCACCCTTTTTAACTTCTGGTAATGGCTCCCATCTTATGCCCCTTTGGGTGTAGCTTACACTGGCCTAGACCTGGGTATTGCAGGCCACCATGTTGAGTTTCCCTAACTCCTGCCCACACATTCCCAGAATCTCTTCAGTAAACCCCTCAGATGACTCAGGTTAAGTTTCCTATCTTTTTCCTGCCTGGACTCTGTCTTACACAGAAGTTGTTTGTGGAATGGGAAAATATGCGTTATGACAGCTGCTGATAATAGAAGCAAAGAGTTTAAACCTTTTTATTTGATAAGATAATTGGGGTATATTTTGCTTGTATTACACATAAACTTTTTAATATTCCCAAGAGTACTCTATTAAAATAGATCAAAATAAAAGCATGCACCCAGAAATCTGCTAAAGAAGAAAGATGTGACACATGAAATAAACCACAACCGCCGTCTGAAAAGAAACAGTGATGTTTTGGACTTAGTTGTTTTACAAAAAGTCACGTTTCTGTAACTGTTCCATGATTTACTCTTGTTTTTATTCTCTGGCACAGTTAGGTTTCTAACTTATACACAAATTGGTGGTAAAAATTGACAAGTGAAAACACGCAATATGCACAAGACATTTTTCAGTCATACTCTTGCTGGCTCCCAACTGAAAGTGACCAACAGTTCAGGCTACTTTGCTTACGAAGTAGTAGGCAGTGGTGTGATGTGTGATTGATCAAATGGGAAGTTAGTATTTGATGAAATGAGAGGGGTCCATGGGGAAAATCAGAGCTGCTTGAATTAAAATAATTTCTATCAAAACCTATCTGGAGGTTAAAGGGGTTTAGTGATGCGTTGTGAAGATGGGTAGTTATGCTCTATATGCAATATCAAAGGTAGGCAGAGAGAGCAGAAGAGATGAGAGAATATTAGTCCTGCTTTCAAGGACAAGAAATTCTCCAGTTCCGGATTAAAAACTAATCGCAAGGATGTCATTAAAAAAAGATGCCTTTCAACTTCTTTCGTTCTCTGAAGAGCTTGCTGCTTATTTGAAATGAATATAAAATACTATGTATACACGGGGGAACGCTGTGGTTCAGCCTTTACGTTTTGTTGCTTTTTTTGTTTGTAGGGTTGTACATCGTAGTGATTTGATGTCGGCTTCATAGGGAACAAACAGGCTTTGAACTTTATTCCTTTGACAAGAGGAATTCGTGCATCTGACAGTTATGTTCAAAGTGCTTGCAATGTTCCTTTCTGCTGAGCACTGGGGATCCAGCGGTGAACGAGGCAAAGCAGTCACTGCTCTCAGGAGGCGAAGGAAAACCACTTTAATTGGTTAGTACTCCTTCCACCCTGAGGAAAGGAGATGGGTATGTGACCAGAGATTCAGTAGGCAGTAATAACAGTCTCATTTTTATAAAATTAGAATGAAACTTTTTATCGTTCATCCCCCTAAAAGTAGTCTACAAAATTACTAGTTGTGTTGATTGTTAATTTCTAAATATCCCAGTCCAATGTTTTCCCATGGGGAAGTGTGTAGGTAATAAGATGCATATTCTGGGGTTTCCTTTATATTCACTTTCCAAGGCTGAATTTAAAATCTACTCTTCTGGCTCTTCCATGCTACCTGGAATAGTTACGTATCGTTTACATCCCTAACACTTCTGCTTTAGTGGAATTGTACTCTAATTCAAATATTTCAAGTATCCTTGAAGCAAAGAATGAAAGTTAAGCTAGATGCTTCCTATAGTGCTTAGTCTGTAGGCGTTCCATCTGGTGAAAGTGCATCAGATTTGAACAGGAAGTACAGGAAATTACTGCACATGCTCTGGACTCAAGCACACAGTCCATTCGACTCAGAGGCTAATTTGTGTTGCTGGCGTTTTCAATAGAGATGGATTATTCCATCTCTCACTGTCCAGGGCAACAGACACTATTTCACCAGCAGAGAGATTCAGGACAATGAGGTATGCAAAAACTGTTGATTTTCATGATCGAATCAATATTTGAGTACCACGGGGGCAGCTGCTAGTTACGCTGTGTTCTAGAACTGGTATTTACATGTATATTGTGTGTGATTAAACAGATTTTAAAAAATACAGAATGAAAATGTAGAAAACTGTGCTGAATATGGCTAAATGGATGAAGAAACGTTCTTAATAAATGTTTTCCTTAAATACTGGTAGAAGACTTAGCAAAAGTGTGCCCTTTAGCTGGAATGAAACTATCTCTTTTGTTGATATAGTGCTCTAGGCTGTTTCTTTTTCTAGCAGATATTTTTCTAGGTTACATATGCAATTAATGAGGAATTCTATACTATATAGCCTTTAAAAATCCATTCTCAGACAGGTGCTATCACCTAGCACCTCTAGGTTTGCTTTTCTTTTGCTTTTATGTCCAAAAATCAGGGATTAAGCAACAACATTTGTGACAAAATAATATACATAGAGCCTTTTGCTCTTCTTAGGGAGGACACAGAGGCAGCAGAGCATGCATTTTATTCAGTCAACATGCAAGCAGCTTTCCCGTTCTCTCAGGACCCAGGCAAGGAGTATTGCCTACCTTGTGCCAGTGGTCATCCTCCTAACGCAATCGTACATGCCTCCACAAACATTCTACATCTGGCTCTTCTGTTGACAGAGTGTTAAAGAGATAGTGATAATCTGGGTCTTTTTAAAAACATCATGATGTCACTTCATATGCTTAATATTTGTGGTCCCAATGAAAGAGATAGGAGATGCTTTAAAATCGAAGATAACGCTTTGTGTGGAAATGTCTTTGCTGTTCCTTTGGAAGGATGGAAGTTATAGGTGTGAAACCCATGACTTTAGAACAAAAGAGGAAATAGCTTTAAGATTAGTGGTTTGCTAAAAATAGAACTTGTCCTTATTCAAATCAATAGGCATTTAAATCATAAATAATTACTTTAAGATTTTAGAGTTAAAGACAACTCAGGCATACATTCCACCTTAGTGTAAATTTAGAGGTGTTATAGGGACAAATAAAACTTTGGAAACCAGATTAAAAATTGAGATATGAGTAAGGCTACTGATTGTATTTGTTCTTTCTATAAAAAGACAAAAACCATTCACATCAATTACCATTACAGTTCTTACTTTTTTGTGGGTCTTCTAATTGAATAACAGCTGAAAAATGGAAAAGTCAGTCTCTTCTTGTTCATATAAATGCACATTCCCTTAGCCATGAAAAACAATGAAATCCCAATTTAAGCATTTTCCAAATTATAATTTCAATTAACCCTGGAAATAATCCTGTAACATAGGCTAGAATAATTATTTCTCCCATTTTTAGGAAGAAAGAGAGCAAAGAGGCTTGGTTCTTGGTATTTGGTACTTGGTACTAATTTGTGTCAATTTTATATCTTTTTTTTTTTTTTAGTTACACTAGAACTTTTCTTGAAAGTTCTAATTTCAGTACTTTCATCTCACTTTTAGAAATCTCACAATCCTTGCTCTTTTTCCCATTATTTTTAATAGTTTTTTTCCCTAAAGCATTATCTATGTTCAGCAGACACCTCTCCTCCCCCTAATTATTGAACTTCCTCTTATATACACCAGAAATTATAAAATGTAGTACATATAGAAGACAAGAGGGGAAATGAAAGGCTAAAGAGGTTATTAGAAGCCAGAAAAATGTCAGAGAGAAAGGAAGAGAGCTCAGAATTTCAGAAGGAAGATGATGGATGGTTGTTCTTTGGTGACCACATCCATCTGTTAACTCAGAAATAATGCTGCTGTTCTAGAAACTCACCTCCAAGGACTACCTTCTGCTAAAATCAACATTAGAGTTGGCTAATTCTGAGGGAAAATTTTACTGTCTTTGTAAAAACATTAGAATTAATCATTATTTTTTAAATGGAAAAGAATATTTAAAAATCACTAGCTATTTGAGGAAAAACTCTAATGCAAAATATAAAGAACAAACAGTAAAGAGCAACTTAGGAGTAAATTCTCTGAAGTTTTCTGATCTGTGTAGTCTTTATCACAATATCTCTAAAATTAGGGCAAGATAGTATGTTCTTGAAGGCAGAAAAGGTGTTATAAAAAGAAACATTTGAAGAACAAAAAGATGCTTTTGAAAATTAAAACCTTAAGAGCAAAAATATTTTTCAAAAAAAATATGTAGCATACAATCAAATAAGTATCCCAGAGTATAATGCAAAACAATAAACAATTGGAAAATAGGAAAGAAAAGATAAGAAAGTTAAAAAGTAAATCCAGAATGTCCAACATCCAAAAAGAAGTTCCAGAAACGATACTCAAAGGAGAAAACAAAATTTTCAGAAAATAAATAGAAAATGTTTCTCAGAAAGAACACATTTTTCCATTAAAAGATTTACTGAATGCCCAGAACTATGGAGAAAAAGAGATTCCCTCCAATAAAGATCATGTAATTTCAGGTGGACACAAAGAGAATATCCAGAATCATATTTCTCAATAGCAACTATAAAAACTAGAATCTAATGGAGAAAGACTTTCCGAACCCAATGAGAATCTTTGGGGTGATACAAGATTCAAAGACAACATGATTCATTAAATATTTACAACAACCAGTTCAGACTGGAAGATCAGAAGGCTACAGAAGAGATTCCTCAAAAAGCTAAAACTAAAATATATATATGTATTAATATATATATGTATATATGGAGCTCGTTAAGGAGCTCGTTAACTCAAATTACTCTATCAATATCAACTCAATGCAAAAAATCAGCAGAGAGACAGTTGGTATCTCAAAAAACTCGTTAGTTGGGACACTTGTAAGTCAAGGCCCCACTGTAGTTATCTAACAATTACCTATAAATAGTTATCTAGTGATAGTGATAAGGCTTGTACTCTTCTAGCAAAAAAAAGGCCTTAAGACATAAAATTATGACTCAATAAGAAAAAAACATCCCCACTGTAGAATTTTCATCAGAGGAGGAATCACAGACTGAAGATCCACATTGAAGGCTGACCACTTCTTTGAAAACTGTCCCCATCATAGAAGAATTCCTTCCCACCTTGATCACAGTTGTCTCAAATTTCCAATAATGTGATAACAATACCTGGTAGAGTCCAAGCATGAGTGGTCCCTGTCAATGAAATCCATGCCATAGCATGTACTTGGTCCCTCTCCTGGAGAAAACTCTTCAGCTGAACCTGACCCTGTCTCACCTTCCCAAACACACTGTCACCTGACTCCTACTCATCCTCCTAATTTTTGCAACTCACTTTCTCCTATAAGCCTAGTTAGATGACCCTGCTATTTAGGTTTATCATGAAAATTAAACAGCTGATAACAAGGTATTGTGCTAATTGCCCATTTCCCGTTAGAATACAAGAGTTATAAGGGCAGAAATGTTTCCCCTTTTTTTCCACATTGGTTTTTCTGGGCCTTATACAATGTCTGGCCCTAGCATAGGAGGGACTCAGTAAGTACATGTTGATTTGAATGGACTTGCTATTTTTCTAATTTTTAAAAATATTTTCATACTCTATATCACAATGGTGACTGCTTATATGTCTTTTTATGCCTATACCATCTGTGATTGAAAAACGTGTATTAATATCTATGTGAATGGCACAGAGAGAATATGGGAATCGCCAGTCTTCACCCCAGATTGGAATGTTAAAATATGCAAAGTGCTTGGCTTTCTTAAAGGAGAAGTTCTTGGAGTCCATGAACAGATAAATGCATGTGGGGAAGCACAGAAACCTGTGTCAGAGTAATCATTCATCCGTCACTCGGGGTCTGTTGGTCAGCCCTGGAAAATGCATCTTGATTTTATACTATAGTTGTTCCAGAGACAATGAGACAACATCTAATATACTTGAGGATTGCATTAGATGGCAAGTCATTTGGCACACTAAATTGCTCTTAATATGATTTGTTCACATTTTTTCTACTTTATTACAGCCGAGGCACCGACAACAGACTGGCCCACCGGCGGCAGACAATTCTCCGTGAGAAGGGGAGAAGGTTAGCTAACCGAGGACCAGCATACATGTTTAGTGATCGCTCAACAAGCCTATCTGCGGAGGAGGAACGCTTTTTAGATGCAGCTGAGTATGGCAACATCCCAGTGGTGAGAAAGATGTTGGAAGAATGCCTCACACTCAACGTGAACTGCGTGGATTACATGGGCCAGAACGCCCTGCAGTTGGCAGTGGCCAACGAGCACCTGGAAATTACAGAACTTCTCCTCAAGAAAGAAAACCTGTCTCGTGTCGGGGACGCCTTGCTTCTAGCTATCAGCAAAGGTTATGTTCGGATCGTGGAAGCCATTCTCAGCCATCCAGCTTTTGCTGAAGGAAAGAGGTTAGCAACCAGCCCCAGCCAGTCTGAGCTCCAGCAAGATGACTTTTATGCCTACGATGAGGATGGGACCCGCTTCTCCCATGACGTGACTCCAGTCATTCTGGCCGCCCACTGCCAGGAATATGAAATCGTGCACACCCTCCTGCGGAAGGGTGCTCGGATCGAACGGCCTCACGATTATTTCTGCAAGTGCAGCGAATGCAACCAGAAACAGAAACATGACTCCTTTAGCCACTCCAGATCTAGGATTAACGCCTACAAAGGCCTGGCAAGCCCAGCTTACCTGTCTTTGTCTAGCGAAGATCCGGTCATGACAGCTTTAGAGCTTAGCAATGAGCTGGCAGTGCTGGCCAACATCGAGAAAGAGTTCAAGGTGGGTCTTTAACAATAAGGACTTCACTCTCCACAGGTCACAGTCAAGGTACATTTACAAGCTTCCACTGTGTGCTCAGCACTGTGCTAGTTACTGTGGACAGTAGGCAATTTTACATTTTTTTTCAACAAGCTCTTTGTTATAATTATACGTAGTAAAAGTTGTGACGGCAAGCATTTAGAGATATTCTGATATACAGTAGACGTTTTACAGTTATTATGTCTAATCTTTACCACAACCTTGAGAAGCATTGCTTCCTTTTTAGATCGATAAATGGAGGTATAGAAAGGTTAATAAGTAAGGCCCAAGATCCACAACTGGTAAATGACAGCTGGATCAGAATCCAGCTGTGCTGTACTCTGAAACCTAGGTTCCTTCTCCTATAAAACACTGTTTCTGTGTTCAGAGCATGGTGATCAGTGCTGCTGAGGTCGGAAAGATGAACCAGCTGCAGGAGGTCACAGTTTGACTTGAGAGACATAGGCTCTGGGCATTAAAAATATTCTGGAAAGAATTAATTTCACATCTATTATTTGTGCATTTGAACAAAACTGCATACATTAAACACCATTGTTTAATATAACAAATATATACAAAATTTGAAAAGTAAATTTTGAATATATGGCACAACTCTTACTGGAAATGAATTTTTAGTGGGATTAATTGTGTTCACACTTTTGTTATATATTTAATGAAATTAAAAGGTATATCCTGCTAAGAATATCATGGTGAGGCAGCTAGCATGTTACTTTAGTTTTTGTTAATAAGATATATAAATTATTAAAGATTTTATAAAATAAAATTTAAAAAGCATTGACTATAGGTAGAATAAATATTTCTTGATATGATTCAATAACTGCCTTTCTAAATTACACATAGTGGATCGGAAAGAAATCACATAAAAGTTTTATCCATATGTGTTAGCCTATGTCCTAGGAAACTTCTGAGTTCTGGAATCCATCCAAAGTCACGTTAAAAAGAATCATCTTCACTAATTGTTCTCTACCTTGGCCATTTGAGATGCCTTTTATTCTAGCTAATGATACACTCCTAAAGATGAGTGTTAATGCTAGTTTAGAAGAATCACACTTACATTTAAGTACACGAACAATTTATTTTTATATTCAGTATTCCCTACTGAATGAAGCCTTCTCTGCCATCGTCTCATTAGACACTCATTCAGTGTGTTTTTTGACAGTTGTTGGAGAATGAAGGGACAAATATATTAAACAAAAGTTATCATTGTTCCTGTCACCACACAGTATCATGCTTCTAAATTCAGAACATCCTAACATGAACCAGCACGTTGTGTTTCTATGACTAAGCATTAAGTTCAACAGAGATGTGTATTAATTAGGACAGGGAAATTCAAGGACCCTTCAGGGTCGATGGGACCTGGATTAATCATTAAAGGGGGATTCCTTATTGCTGGCTACATGGGTGGGTAAGAGTGGAGAATTCTTTTGTAAAAGGGAAAAATATATATATTTTAAGGAATCAGTTTGAGGAAAATTGAGGATCTGGAAATTGATTCTCTTAAAGCTATCAATGTTCTATGGTCCCTGGAAAGTCTTTGCAGTTTGAAGGCAACTAATCTATTTTGTGAGTCAGAGTATATGATCTTTCACAAAGATTTTTGTAAGCTCTAACATATAACTTCCTAAGCTTCTCCCAGACTCTCCCCTCCACAGTAGCCTGAAGTGCAAGCATGTCAAACTCAAAGGCTAACATGGGCCAAATAAACAAGGTTTAAGTTTCTGTGGGCCACAAAAAAACAAAAGCTTCAATTTTCATAGAAATGTAGGTTTATTTCGATAGAGACATGCTGAATACAAAAGGCTGAAATAAATGAGTAATCATTAACATAAAATAATAGAACATTTTAATAAAAATTAATATTTTTTTCTTGAACATTAACTTACCAGACACTGAATAAGCCCTCAAATTAATAAGCATAATGCAAATAAATCTATTTTTCTTGTTCTCTGAAAGCAAAATATTTCCTGTTGTGCACACCAAACAAGTCAGTCCAAGACTAATGACGTGCCAATCGGCTGCTAAAATATTCGCTGCTAGTATTAGTGGAGAGAAATGATGTGCCTGCGTGTAAGGCGTGTAAGGGAAATGAATGCAACACGATTATAGTAATCAGTCATTAGTGAATGTTGTAGTTCGTTATTTTTTTATTTTTATTTTTTTAATATATTTTATTGATTTTTTACAGAGAGGAAGGGAGAGGGATAGAGAGTTAGAAACATCGATGAGAGAGAAACATCAATCAGCTGCCTCCTGCACACCCCCCAATGGGGATGTGCCCGCAACCAAGGCACATGCCCTTGACCGGAATCAAACCTGGGACCCTTCAGTCCTCAGGCTGACGCTCTATCCACTGAGCCAAACCGGTTAGGGCTGTAGTTCGTGATTAATAAGTATGTATAACAGGATATTGTAAAAAGTTACGAAATTTTTATTAAAACGTTTCTTACATACTGTTATATTGGCTGGGCCACAAAAATATTCATTGTGGTCTGCATGTGATCCACGGGCCAGGAGTTTGACATGCTTGCTATAGTCCATTAATAAAAGAGGCCAGAGGAGTTGCTATTGAGTTTCATGGGCAATTTTAATCTTGCACTTTGAATCTCTTAAACTGAACAAATTGCATTTATTACCCATATCACCAGGTCTGTAGCTGGCTCCATGCAGAGGTGCAACCACAGAAATCTAACAATTAGATGAAGCCACAGGAATAAAAGAAAATTAATAGGCCTGAGGGACTACATGTCTTTAAAGAGAATGGCGAGAAATGAAATTCAAAAGTTTTTTACCCATTCAAATTCAACTTTCATATTAAATTTTTAACAATAAATTTTTGCTTTGGCCACATGAGATCTCAGCCACCTTAAACTTGGGCTAAGTCTAAATTTTGCAGCAAATACAAAATCAATAATAATAACAAAAAAAAGAAATACCCACAACTTACCTTTTTGATAACAAAGAGAACATGACTCCTGGCTTCTCTCCTTGACTCAAGACTAAGCTCAGATAAGGTAGAATAATCTCACAGACAAGGAAATCAATACCAGGGATGGTTTTGTCAGCAAGTTCATTCTCCTAAATTCCTAATTTTCTTTTAGCATCTCAATATGTACCTATGACTTATGTCTTCAAACCCTTTTTGAACTTATTGATACGTTAGGTCAGTGGTCGGCAAATTGCGGCTCGCGAGCCACATGCGGCTCTTTGGCCCCTTGAGTGTGGCTCTTCCACAAAATACCACGTGCGGGCGCGCACGTACAGTGCGATTGAAACTTCGTGGCCCATGCGCAGAAGTCGGTATTTTGTGGAAGAGCCACACTCAAGGGGCCAAAGAGCCGCATGTGGCTCGTGAGCCGCAGTTTGCCGACCACTGGCTTAGGTCATTTGTGGTAACAGACAATGTGACCCTATTATCACCTCTTTTTTAAAAAAATATATTTTATTGATTTTTTACAGAGAGGAAGGGAGAGGGATAGAGAGTTAGAAACATCGATGAGAGAGAAGCATCAATCAGCTGCCTCCTGCACACCCCCTACTGGGGATGTGCCTGCAACCAAGGAGACCCTTCAGTCTCTAGCCCGATGCTCTATCCACTGAGCCAAACCAGCTAGGGCAATTATCACCTCTTTATGCTCCAGGGATTGTCACCTTCCCTGTCATTCTGGATAAGTAGCTTTCTGGAGCTTTTGCAGATCCTTCATGTCCCCCCAGGGATCTGTGCCCACTCATGCACACGGCCCTCCAGCTGCCTCTGCTGTTGACTTTGAGAACTGGGAAGGTAGAGAAACTCCTGCTTCGTCTGTTTTTAAACTGTTGCTATGTTCTGGTGTGCAGATGTTTAAAATGTCTGGCATTGTTTGAAAGAGAAATATCCTCTAAGAAACTGACTGGGCTGAAAAGTAGTTTTTGTTAGCAGAAAGGCAGTGTAACTGTTATCAGACCTTAGCTGGGTGACAAAGGGTGTCACTAAAGTACTCAGTAGCCTACAATGCAGAATCACAGCATCAGAAGCACAGGGCTGGGATCCAGGCCAAAGAGAAAGGAGGCAAAATACCTTTTTTGAGTTTTATGAGTTATTCTAAGTGATGTACACTATAACTTTATGATATAGCAGCCATTGAGTTCTCCATAATTAGGAGAAATTCACAGAGGGCCAGAAAATAAAGTAACCTTTCTAAGATTACATAGCTATTAAGCAGTAGAGCAAGAATAAAAACCCAGGTATGTTTTGTACCCAGCCATGTTCCTTTCTTTACATCACTCAACAAAATTTTGGATTACCTCCTGTGTGCCACAAGCTGCACTAGGATGTGGGGACTCAAACATGAGTAAGATCTATAATAGTCATTGCTGTGAAGGATGTTTGAACCTACTTGAGAGAGGAAGATACATCCTATATAATAAAAGCCTAATATACTAAGTGTCTGGTCGACCAGTAGGCTGTTCAACCAATCAAAATGTAATATGCTAATGATATGCTAAGGCTGCTCAACTGCTCGCTATGATGTGCACTGACCACCAGGGGGCAGACGGTTGACTGGTAGGTTAGTTTGCTGCTGGGGTCCGGCCGATCAGGACTGAGTGAGATGGGCCAGACACGCCTTGGAGCCTTCCTGCGGTCCCTCCTCGGCTGGCCCCAGCCCTGATAGTGCACTGGTGGGGTCCCTTGGCCTGGCCTGTGCTCTCTCGCAGTCCAGGACCCTTCGGGGGATGTGAGAGAGCTGGTTTCAGCGTGATCCTGCAGGCCAGGCTGAGGGACTCCACTGGTGCACGAATTTGTGCACCGGGCCTCTAGTAATCCTAATAATTACCAGGAAGTTGGCATTCATATTTGGAATAACCTTCCTAGCAACCCTGAAAGTGGGTACTCGTATTATCCTCATTTTACACTTGAGAATTTTGAGGCTTTAAGGGATTAAGTCATTTGCCCAAAGCCATGCAGCTAGTTTCAAAGTGGTTGCTATTAGTTTCAAACCCAGGTCTGCCCTTCTTCAAAGCCTGGACAGTTCATCAGTGAGAATTAAGGCATGCCCTTCCCCTGTTAATGTCTATCAACAAACTTCAATCTTTATACAAAAAGGAGAGCCAGACATTAAAATTACAGACCTTAACATCTCTTCTACTGTGAAATATGCAACTAAGATGACCCTTTGAAAAGATAATTTTACCAGGGACATTTTTATGTCTTCTAATCTCTTAAACTCAGCTCTGTTAGCCCATTATCAGTCATCTTTTTTCAACTCAAAGGTTAATAGGCGAGCACACACTTCTGATTCATAGTGTGCGGTGCGGGTATGTGACCCAAAGACCTGACCCAGAATTAAATCAACCAGCCAGCTTCCCTTTTCTTTTCAAGGAACCAAATTCCCCGCTGCATCTGCTAATGAACTGCTGCCAGCATTTCCTTCTGAGTGAGCTTTCACGTCAATTTGCGAGACCTTAAAATATGAAAACATTTGTAAATGGATCCCCAAGGTGAAAGAAAGAGCATAGATTTCTAAAAACAGAGTCTTATTTTTTATTTTTTAAAAATGGAGTTTTGTTCCCCCCCTTGAGAATATGTGTTGAGAATCAGCAGCAAGTTGGAAACAAGTTGTGAAACAGCGCAAAGCTCCTGCACTTTACTTTTTGTCCATGTGGATTCTCTCAAAAGCGTCACCCACAGGCGATGGGTCATACTCTCTTTTTATTTCTATTTATTTTATTCTATTGATTTTACAGAGAGGATGGGAGAGGGGTAGAGAGTTAGAAACTTTGATGAGAGAGAGAAACATCAATCAGCTTCCTCCTGCACACCTCCTACTGGGGACCGAGCCTGCAACTGAGGTACATGCCCCTGACCAGAATTGAACCCAGGATCCTTCAGTCCTCAGGCCAACGCTCTATCCACTGAGTCAAACCAGCTAGGGCTCGAACTCTTTTTTTAAATGTCTAATTTCACCATGAGCCTTCTTAGGGTTTTACAGAAGCCCGACTTTGACGACTACACCTTTGCCTTTGAATGACTATGGCTACACCCACACTGAGCTCTGCATAGAGGAAAGGTTAGGTGCATTAGATTTTGTCAGAGCTCCATGGGCTCTTAACAAATGTCAGGAAATGGCCTGTTTTCAGATCTGTCCTTTGATGATATAAAATAAAATAATTTTATTTTATGGGATGCTTTGCTACATGCTCATCACCATGTGATGAACTTTGCGTGTGTGATCTCTTTAACACTTACTTAATTTCACTAAACCTCAGTTTTCTCATCAGTAAAATGAGATCAATGAGAGCACTTGCCTCATAGAGTGGTTTTAAGATCATGTGGCTGAAAATCAGAAGACCTGGGATATGATTAAAGGGATATTTATCTCTGAAAGTCCAAGTTTCTAATTAGAGTCTAGTGAATGAATATGTACATCTGCATGTCCACATGTCAGTGTCTGGCCCCACGACCCTAACTGACTATTCCTTGGAAAGGCTAAAGCTGTTTCCTTGTACCTCTGTTTATACTACCTAACCAGATACCTTTTTAGAACTGGTTGAAACCATTCTCAGCTAAGAGATAATTTGTTTTATCCATTTGCTTTTATATAAACTGTCTGCACCTGCAGTTAGCGATGTGTAGCCTGTTTATAAGTCACTAAACTGAAAGGTCCCTTGGAACGGTTTGCAGAGAGGAGCCCTAGTAGGTGTTTCCCACATTCCCAGTATCGGCTCTTTTCCTATAGACTTCCCCAAAATATCCCTTATTGACTGATGCCCAGAGGCAGTCATATTTTCCAACGTATTTCTCTCTTGATCTTTCCAAGGGATCCTTTCATTCCAAAGCATATTGGTGGCTTCAGGATGGGGGAGACAGCTACCTTTGAATCTGCAGAGCTGGCTTTAAGGGGGACACTGCCACGGAAACTGTGTAAACTCAAGGGACCTTAGTTTTTTCATGTGCAAAATGGGAGTAGTGTTTGCCCTGCCTGTCTCCCAGTTCTTCAAGATGAAAGTAGAAAGCAATATACAAAGAAGAGATAAAGTAACATAATTCCTAAAGGCAAAGAATTGGGGGCCAAACAGCATTCGGTTGTAAGCCTGATTTTGACACTTAGTGGCTGCAGGGTAGTTGGACACATTATTTAACATAACAGAGGAAGAGACTGTGAAGATTAAATGCGATAATATAATCCTCTCACAGTGCAACAAGCTCTAGCTAGTAGGTTTCTTGATTAACGTTGGGCTATAAATGGTCTTATTTCAATATAATAGAAGAGAGAGGAAGGAAATATTAGAAAAGACCCGAATGAACATGTGAATTCATGCTGTATATGTTTGACAGGCATTTTGGTGTTTAAATAAGATCTGCATTCTCTAAATCTTGCCAGCATAATACTAGGGCATCAGTGATAAATGACAATGAAAGCATTCTCATTAAACTTTCTTTTCCCCAATTTGTAGACTTTATGTTAGACTTGCCTTCTGACCCTGTGTTTGGCACATAAAGTTCCTCAATAACTATTTATTAAATATGTAAGTGACATGTGTTTGCTTTTCTCCGGAATCGCTCCCGAGTCCTGTTCCTCAAGTGAAACAACACAGTTTACAAAGTCTTCCAAAGACCTGTCAAGTGTCTGTTATGTGCCTCGCTGATGAAGTTATGAACATAAGAGATATGATGTATGCCAAGTAGTGGGAAAAGTTGCTTATTTTTTATTTCTCCTGAATCAGCCGGTGTTTTTGATAACTTTGATTACGCTTTAGACACATTTCCTTTTTTGGGATCTGAAGAAAATCTTTATGGTGCTAAGATATTTCAGAGATCACTCAGCAGAACAGCAACGAAGCAGTGTTAAAAGAACAGTAAACTGAAAACAGTTTTCTCTTTTTTTTCTCCACAAGCCAAGTGACTGATAGATTCCACTGAATATCATAGCAAAAGGTGCTACTTCTACATTATTGTTTTCTGCTGTTGTTTGTTTTGTCTTTCCTAGAATGACTACAAAAAACTGTCGATGCAGTGCAAAGATTTTGTTGTTGGACTCCTTGATCTGTGCAGAAACACCGAAGAAGTAGAGGCCATTCTGAACGGGGATGTTGAAATACACCACAGTGGCAGAGACCACAGTCGCCCAAATCTCAGCCGTTTAAAACTTGCCATTAAATATGAAGTAAAAAAAGTAAGGTCGGGCATGAAGCCTATTTACATTATTTCCGTTTGTATTGGTGCTAAACAAGGACGAAGGGTTGGTTGGCATCGTTCAACTGAGCTGGGTTTTGGCAGATTCTCTAATGAATCCTGAGAGTCTGTTTATGAGACACCTAACCTACCCTGAACGACAGTCTTTTAAAAGTCTAGGCTTCCTTATGGGTGATTCCACTTTCCTGTACTTCACTAATGACATAACCACGACTTTCGTGTGCCTAGATCACAAGGCATCATTATTTAACCCAACTCCAGTTCTTGTTTGTTGTTATATTCCCCTTCCTTTTTGAGTACATTTGAATCTCCTCCAACTGTATCTTTATTTGTGGAATATGTTCTCTCCCTGTTTTTATGTGGTTTACCCCTCCCCCCAAAATTCTTGACTGCTTTCTTAGGTTATGTGGCATATCTCTTAAAAAAAGTTTTTAAAGCTAAGTTGCATAATAAGTGTAATACATGCTTATGGTAAGTTTTCAAATAGCATAGATGTATCCCCTTTCTAGTTTCCCAATTCGTATAGAAAGTAGTGAATCAACATTTAATTTCTCTCCACAAATCTATATCTTAGACATCTCCACATATCAGTAAATAAACATCTACTTTACCATTTCAAAGGTTGCATTGTTATATCATTCTGTTCATGTAATCAGTTTATTATTTAAAGGTGTTTATTATTTTCCTTAGGCTGGTTATTGTTCTTCTAGGATGCCACAGAAAACATACTTGTTTATGTAGCTTGCTTACATGCATGAGTCTTTTTCATGAACAAAATTCCCAGGTGTGTAATTATGGCAAATTTTTATTTTTTAATTGCAAAACATTTGTTAAGTTTCCCTTCAGAAAAATGCACCGTTGACACGGGCCAACAGCATATGACAGGGCTTATTTCTTCCTCTCATATTGGTTATTATTAAACGTTACCATTCTGAGAAGATAAACATCATATCTTGTTTTATCTTTGAGGCTAACCATCCTTAGGAATCAATCATAGTTCCTCTAAATAACCTGTCCTTTATGTAACATTTTATATTCTTTACCGATTTTTTATTTAAGGTTGTTGCTTTTTGTATATTAATAATGTTGCCCTCTGTTCTATGCAGAGATCATTTTTAAAAATAAATATGTGAAGTAAATTCATAGACACAGATAACAGTATGGTGGCTACCAGAAGGAAGGGGTGGGGAGTGGGTGAAGAGGATCAAGGAGGGCAAATGCAGTATACACATGATGTATTAGAGAATATACATCTGAAACTTATACAATGTTATTAACTAATGCTACCCCAATAAATTTAATTTACTAAATTTAATGTGAGAATTAAAAAATCTAAAAAATAAGCTTTTTTTAATTGAAAGAGTTTATGACACAGAAATAGAATAGGCAGTCCATAAACTGACCTGTTTATGTAAATGAGAATTTAGTATAAAATAAGTTTAGTGTTTTAGGCCAATATATGAAAGAAGGTATACTTTTTTTAAAAAAAGTATTTAAACATCTGGACTAGCAGGGTCTTTCCATTGTTCCTTCTAGTTGAAAAAACCATCTATATATCTATCTATCTAAGCGACTATCTGACTGGCTGACTGGTAGCTATGATGCGCAATGACCACCAGGGGGCAGTGACTGGCTTACTGGTAGCTATGATGCGCAATGACCACCAGGGGGCAGACACTCTGACTGGTAGCTATGACATGCACTGACCATGAGGGGGCAGATGTGCAATGCAGGAGCTGCTGAGCTGTGGGGACTTGGCAGCTGCGGTTCTTGGGTGACGCACCTGGAACCAGAGAGGAGGGAGCCTGATTCCAGCGTGTGTCACCCAAGAACCACCCTCTCATAATCTGGGACCCTTTGGGGGATGTCAGAGAGCTGGTTTCAGCCTGATGTCCACAGGGCAGGCCGAGGAACCCCACCTGTGCACGAATCCGTGCACCGGTCCTCTAGTATAATTATAAGCATCCTTGTGTAAAACATTGATGGATCTTTTCACAATATTAAATTTCAAAAAAATTTTATGCTTTGAAAGAAAGCCCATTTGTTATGAAGGGAATGTTTGATAAATTGGAATCTCCTACTTTGTCTAATACATACTAGAACATCCTGCCATCTTGCTTGCTGTCAACTAGATGCTTTATGTTTGTTCCTTAATTCTAACAATATTTTTCATGGGAAAGAACAGAACAAGATATTAGAACAAAAGAAAATAGTTTATGCTGAACTTTAATCAAGCTGTTAAATGTTTTGTCGCTTTCCTGCTAGTTTGTAGCCCATCCCAATTGTCAGCAGCAGCTCCTCTCCATCTGGTATGAGAACCTGTCCGGCTTGAGGCAGCAGACGATGGCGGTCAAGTTCCTCGTGGTCCTCGCTGTTGCCGTGGGACTGCCCTTCCTGGCTCTCATTTACTGGTTTGCTCCGTGCAGCAAGGTATGTCTGTGAAGCCCGGACCTTGTCGTTTCCTAGGAGCATGTCTAGTCGAACATCTCAGAGGCGGTTGTGCATGGAAAATTCCCTTCCCAAATGAGCATTTTAGGAAGGTCATAGTTGGGCTTAAGTAATCTTACTGTTTTTTGATGTTGCAAAAATAACATATATTAGCTAGGAAATAGAAAAAGAAATACAAAGAAGGGAACATTCACCTGTAATAGCATCACTGTCAATGTGCCAAAGAAAGCCTCAGTTACTATGGCAGTATATCGTCCTGTCTATGCATATCTTTTTATAGTTTTAAATGCGGCTACATTAGGCAGGTATTTCACATAACATTATAAAAGATCAACATGTTTCCTCTCTTTATTTTTCCTCTGGCAAATTTGACATGAATTTTTTTCCATATTTATTTTAGCTAATATGACCCTTTATTTAATAGTCATTTAAATAAAGGACTATCATATTTAAAAAACACACTAATATAATGTAGATGCAGTGAAGAATATTTATTTTAGGGACAGCCTGGATAACCTTCTCCTTTTTTTTTTTTTTAAGCCAAATCTATTTGCCCAGGCTTTGCTGAAAATATGTTCAGATGGATCTGGCCTTTCATTGGTGACAGAACAAGCTTGAAAAATATTCAGATGTTTGAATTCTGTTAACAGGCACAGACATTTGTCCGTCCTGCGTTGCCAGCTATCATATTTTTCATGCTTTGGAGGCCGCATTTCTGGAACTGTTTAAGTTACAACTCCGACAGACTGAAATAATTCTACAGCTACATGGCAACATGTCTGCGGGGCCATCTATTTATGTGCTCTGCAGAAATGTCAGCTGAATCACATGCTGGTCTGAAACAGCGGAATGACTCACTTTCAAACATTTGTAAATGCGGGGGTGCACACCAGTACCACCACTACCAACATATTGTTTTATTACTTAGTCACATGTGTGGTGCTTTCGCCTAAAAGGGACTTTTCTCAGCAGCTTTTGGTAGAAACCTGATGTGAAGCCTTTTCCTTTTTAAATATGATGTGAACTTCATAATTACCTCTGGTGATGATGATAGGAACTGCTGATAGATTTTATGAGTGTAAAATCTATCGCCCTTACAATACATAAGGCCCCAAATTTATCTCTAAAATATAAAGGTTGAAAAGAATGAGATTTACTAGCATTAGGAATTTATAGTAGATTTTCTTCTAGAAAGTTATAATATTTTGTCTTCCCTCTTTCATAGGAATACAGATTGCACTTCGAAAAAACATCTAAATCGTCCTTAGTAGAACAAAGGTCAAATCAATGTATACAGTCTCTGTTCTGCTTCTAGTCATATTTCCTGAGTCTTCAGAGATTGAAGATGAATTTAAAGGGGAGGAGTTTCTGAATTATATATTCTGAGATCAGTTGAATTATAATAACTTTTCTAAGCTGAATAATTGTCCTTCCCAAGCGTAATGTGTTCCAGAGAGTTTGGTGTTTTGACAGCGAATATCTTTGGCAGTCCTTAGAGTGACACAGTACCTACATTTTGATTGAATCCTAATTAACCTTATTTCCTTCACTATTTCTTCTTCCCTGGCCATGTTTCTGTCTGGCATCTGTTTTCCATCCTCGTTTATGAACACTGAGGCAAATAATCAAATTAAAAGGACACTGTCAAGGTATTTTCTTCTCATATTAAAACCTCTTTTACTGACTGTTCTTTAGCCTTTGAAGCATGATGGTAAAATCCATTTTACAATTTTTCCATTTAGCAATGAGCATAAACATTATTCGCAGGTTGCAGAATTGATTTTTTATGGGGGAAGATTGCTTAAGCTACATGATGCTTTTTTTTAAAGTACTATTTTCCAATACATCCAGGCAAGTTCAGCCAGAGCGTCCTGTAGGCCTGTGCACCTTGACAGAGTCCCATTTCTGTTTGAAGTTGTTTTTCTTTTTTTTAGATTGGCTCTCTTCTCTTTCCGGAAACTTTTTTTTTGGTCCTTACTTATTCTGTTTTTCCACTATAATCTAAATATCAATGGCTTTATGCTTATTACCATAAAAGTAGGTCATGCTGTGGTTTAAAATTATTTTAGTTTAAGTTGGTGTCAACCTTTTCTATTCCTATTGGTATTTGGTAGTTAGGTGTTTGGTCATCAATAAATACTTGAAAAGAGTATGATCTATAATATTGAAAAGCAGGTATTTGTTTCAGTGCTTCCACTCAATAATTTTCCAGGTACATCAGTTGTTTATCTCATGCATTGATGAGTCCCTCACTTTACAGGTTCCCCCCCCCCCAGAAATTTGTTTACATCTCAGGAGACACAAATGACAAATTTTACTAAAATGGAAAAATCACTTAAACTCCTAAAGTCCATGAAATGGTACCAAAATCTGCCTTAGTTTAAAGAAAAACACAACTCTCAGTGATTTTGTTGGCGGTGGGAAAACAGCAGCAGATGTTAACCAGCAACCTCCAAGACAAATTATAACAAAAAGGTTTATTTAGAAAGAAATGGGCTCAGAAAACAAGTTAGGACAAGGAGAGAGAGAGAGAGAGAGAGAGAGAGAGAGAGAGAGAGAGAGAGAGAGAGAGAGAGAGACACCCTGGGGAAAGAAGAGGGTGGGGAAAGGCAGAGGCATGCTGCATAGAGAGAGCCTCCCTGGGTCCTCTGTCCTGAGGGCTTTCATCTGAGGTCCCAGGGGAAGAGCTCAAAGGAGCCTTCATCAGCTTTCCTGGTGTGTCTCCTCAGGGCATGGTCTCCGCTGATTCACTAGTCAGTGCCCCTGGTCCTGGTGTCTGCTGCAGTGTCACTCCCCCTGCTTTTGCTGCTTCTCTGCCCTGGAGCTGAAATACAGCTGAGGCCTAGATGTCATCTCCAGGAGTCAGTGCTTAAGGAAGTGGTCCTGCAGGGCTTGTAGTTTTGCCCTGTGGCTAGGCTCCTGGAGTGCTCTGCACCTGGCCCATCCTTCCTGCCCTGCTCATGCCTATCTAACTGCCGGCTACAATTTGTAATAGGAAATGGAGGATATGAATATCCAAACGCACCATTTTAGTTTCCTGCCAACCAATTTTTAGTTTTTTATTTGTTTTCTTTTTTCTTTGAACTAGAACGTTTAATAAGCAGCAAAAACACCTGGTTTGATTCTCCCTTCTGAATAAAATAAAGGTGTAATGTTACATAAAGACCAGTAACTCAATGAAGAAGGTAGGCCAGCCAGGTCAGGGGTGAGGCACAGACCAGACACCCTGCCCTGAATAAGTGAACATTGACTGGGTGTGTCCAGGACAGCAAAACTCAGGTTCCAGAGTTCATTCAGACTGTGGCCCACTCTAACATATCTTGATTCTCAACTCTGTTCCACACTCCAGCCTTTTCGCTTCTCCTTCTACTTTGCTTTCTCCTTCTCCTATTTTAATTTGTGCTCTCCTGTGTTTGGGATAACTTTATATTTTGAAGGCTACCTCTGATTCTTTCTGGAACAAGGCAGAATATAAATACATATGCCATGGATTTCACTACTAACAATCAGTGCCCCATCCCAGTTTTCCACAGCAGAGAAATAAATTGAAAATTTTTAAAAATTGGTTTAAGATTTATAATAGCTTTTTTCCAAGAGGAACTTATTAAATCTTGTGCTACATTTTTATTTGCTATAATACGTGATTAAAATAAATCACATGTAAAACACTGTAGAATTAAAATGAAGCACATGGTACACCATGAAAAAAGAAATTAAAAACACATTTATATTAATTTGTTAACAGTCTATATTTTTTAAAAACATAGCTAAGGACAACACAATGGAAAGTGAAATCCACTTTGTTTCCCATGTGTTTTAACCTGCCCTCATTTGATTATTTGAGAGTTCTATTTAAAAAAAATAAAAAAATACTCTGAGTCAAATAATGAGCATTTTTATGGAAGTATGGTTTTCAGAGATGATTTTCATAGCAGATTTTCACAAAGTGACTTTGGATTGGCTCTACAATATATCTAGCTAGATGGATCCATTGGTTTAAAACTATAGAAAGATATAGACACAGACATACACACACACATATGCACACACTCTCATGCAAATATCCTGATGTCTGGTCCGGCCTAAATTCAAGAGACAAGGAACTGAACTATATGATTTATTCTAGCCTTAACTTTTAAGATTTTGAAAACTATATATTAAAAAAAAACTTACAGAAACAGAGTACATTGATTTCATTTCTTCCATACAGCATTTAGCTATTTAAAGTCTTTTTAAAATTTTCCAACTTTTTTTTCCCCAACTACATATTATATTAGTTTCAGGTGTATAGCATAGTGGTTAGACATTTATATAACTTACAAAGTGATCCCTCTAATAAGTCTAGTACCACCTGGCACCATACATATTATTGACTTAAAAAGAACCTTTCTTTGTTTTCTCTAAGAATTTACATGTACTTATATATATATTTTAATGATAAAATAAGACATTACTTTGCAAACCAAATTAACTTTGAAACAAGAATGCCTGAGTTCACATTCCAGCTCTACCATTTAGGAGTTGTGAGACCTTTAAGTACATTTCTGGGTCTCACTTCTTCAGTTGTTTTTTAATGAGTAAAATAGGTATTTTGGTATCACCTACCTCTTTGAATTGTAATGATTATATGAGTTAACAGAGGAAAGCACTTAAAACAGTCCTTGGCACATAATAAATACTGGCTGTGTTGTTGGTATTAACTTGGGAATTTTTCTGTAATGATAAACTCATTTGAAAGGCTGTTGAAAGCTATGGGCTCTCTCCTAAGAAAACAACTGCACACACATACTGAGTTTTGCTGCCCATGTCAGGGGATGCACAGAGCCCCCTGAGACACATCCCGGCCACGTACCACCCTCTGCCCCAGCTAGAGTCTGTGCATCTCAGATGGAAATGAATCCTGTACTGTAGAGGCACGAGAGCTTTTATTGTCTCCATATCTCATAGGAAGAATTTGATTTTCACATAATTTAGGAAATTCACTTATTGCCACTTAGCTAATGAAGGAATGAAACTGGAACTTGAACCTAAAATATGGGGCTTTTACCCCAGCGTCATTCCAGGACAGTGTCCCAGCTCATTATGGGAACTGCCCTGCCGTCCGCTCCTCAGAAGTTCTTTTCCTGGTACTCATGACTTCTACTCCATTTACAACATCACCAAAATAGCAACATCACGTGAGGCCCGACTGTACCCACGTCGGTGAAATATACGTGAGGACAACATTGCAAAGTAGACTCGGCGTGATATTTTTAATGCTGTTTCCTCAACACTTCATGCCCACTAAATTAATTTGCTTTTTATGACTAATAATGATACTATGCTCTGCCTTTTGTCATTATTATATTTAAAAATATTATTTTATCAGTGCTATATCATGTTTTAAGAATTTACATATTATTTAATAGAAAAGTTCACTTATTTAATTATCCACCCAGACCATCAACATACCAGTATGTAGATGAGGAATGTGACCAAAATTTTATAGCTGCATAAAGAATTATTCCCTCATTAGTTTTATAAATATACACCATCGCCTAAGGGGAACATTGGAGTACACAGGTGGTTATTCTTATGTATATCCATGTGTGTTTTGCTAAATGTACAACACAAAGCTAAGATTTTCTTTTGGTGTGTGTTATGGCAGATGGGGAAGATTATGCGTGGACCATTCATGAAGTTCGTAGCACACGCAGCCTCCTTCACCATTTTTCTGGGTCTGCTAGTCATGAATGCAGCTGACAGATTTGAAGGCACCAAACTCCTTCCGAATGAAACCAGCACAGATAATGCAAAACAGCTGTTCAGAATGAAAACATCCTGCTTCTCATGGATGGAGTTGCTCATCATATCCTGGGTAATAGGTAAAGGCTGAGTTTCCGTCATCATTTATTTTTGCAGCCTTAGCAGTTGGACTGAATGACACTGATTCCTTCACACATCAGTCATACAAATATATGCAACATGACACAATGCACCCCACACCATGATTTTCTTCGTGTTTTTAAAGCAGAGTTAGTTTGGGTTCATTATCAGTGTCATAGTCTTCTCACATGCCCCCCAAGACCCCCAGGAAGAAAATAAATAGGATAGTATTAATTAAACCCTATCAGTGATGAAAAACCACTATTCGTATTTTGGGAGAGCTGTGACATAAAGCTTAAAAACAACCACATGATTTTACATTGAGATTTAATAGGAACTCAAGCTAATAGGCACTTATTTTTGCATTTTTGGAACATTACATACCAGAGACTGTTTGGATATTTTATTTTATTTATTGAATTTTTTTTTGAGAGAGAGATCCATTTGTTGTTCCACTTATTGATGCATTCATTGGTTGATTCTTGTTTGTGCCCTGACTGGGAATCAAACCCTCAACCTTGGTGTATCAGGATGATGCTCTAACCAACTGAGCCACCCAGCCAGGTTTCAAAGCTCTTTATATACATCAAATCACAGTCTTTCTGCCTCCGCTTTCTAATCTGTAGCATAATAATACATCTACCGTACAGCATTATGTTATCTTTAGAGCTCCCAGGTGGTAAGTGAAACAGAGGGAATGCAGTGTTAATAGCCACAGTATGTGTCAATCAATCATACAAATGACTTGTCATTAATATACTGCAAAGGGGAAAGATATTTCAATTGGATATTTATGAATGAATAAATTCAGTAGCTATTAAGTGCCTTTGTTAGGTAGTGTGAGGATACTGAGGTGAATGAGACGCAGTCCTTGCACTGAAGTCTGGGAGCAGGTCAATGAATAAACCTGCCTCTGTGGAGAAGATTTAATGAGCACACAGGTGTTTTGTTTTATTTTATTTTAAGAAATGTAAAGCGAGGGAGCAGGCTTTTTCTCTACTGCCCTAGAGGCAGAATGAGCACCAGCCGCTCCACACAGAGGAGATACTTCCTGCACATTCAACGGTGGGATGAGCAGCCTTCAGAATAGTAAGCACCTCATCTCCAGACAAGTTCAAGCAAGGCTTGGTCCCCACAGAGACGTGGGTTTCAAATTATGCTTGGCAGCTCCCGGGGCCTCGCAGGGCACATAAGACAGGGAATCTTTCTTCAGGTGGAATACTTCACTGTGGTTTTTTTTTTAAGCTTTAGTAATATATTTTTACCAATAATTCTACGAGAGAGAGAGAGAGAGAGAGAGAGAGAGAGAGAGAGATAAGATGGGAAAATGGGAGGAAGGAGAGGAAGCTTTGAAAACAACTAGACCACATGAGTTTAAATGTCCCATTAATCCCTATGCTTCAGTTCTCCCTCGTCTCCTATTAAGGAGGCTGGCAGGAACCCAAGGACCACAAAAGGAAAGCTGCCTTCAGATTTTCTCATCCCTGTGCATAGTTTTGGGGTTGAGGGAGGAGGTGTGTGTGTGGTTAAGTGTATACATGCAGTATATTCTGTTTTAAATTTGATCCACTAAAATATGTATGAATTTAATTCTAGTCACCTTTTAATGTGGAAAAAATGCAAAATAAAGTAATGAAGTTATCTTCTCATCAAAGCACATACTCCGTGATGCACTGAATTCTAGTTTAGAGAAAAGCGCATAGTAAATTGTTAGCAGGCAGAGACCACACACATGGCAGGTTCTTGGTTAGAGGTTCATGACAAACAGGAGAATATGGGGCAGGTGGTTGCTGGGAGGAAGAGGAGATTAATTTCAACTAGGGGACTATGAAAGCCTTCTTGATGGAGGCAGGTTTGACTGGTTATTGGAATCCGAAGATTATATTCCTCCACAGGGCTCTAGGAGGAAACAGGACATCAGAGAGTAGGGTATCTTAAAGGTAAGAGGAGTAAATTCCCTCCTTTTTAGTAAAGCAAGATTCTTCAAATTAAGGAAGAAAATATGTACCAATCATAGAAATTTAAAAATAGTAAGTGCTCAATAAATTTGACTTGTTTTTTTCCCCAAGTGCCAGACACAATAACATGAAGTTCACATGAGTTGTTTATCTCATAACAATTCCATGAATTAGGTGCAAACTACTATCATACCCATTTTACAGATTGAGTTTTATAAAGTTTAAGTAACTTGCCCAAGATTACAGGGCTAATAAGTGGAGGGACAAGGTCAAATCTATAGAGATTTGATCCCAAAACCTATGTTCCTAAGTACTACACTAAATTTTAGAGAGAGTGTGCAATATTATTAATAATTCCACCAGCAAGAGACCACTGCTATGAATAAGATCCTGAGTTCCTTCTAGTCTTCTATTGTGCTTGCTTTAAACATAAAGTCATGGAATATATAGCATATTTTACTTTTTTACTTAACATGTTTAAATGCTTATGACAAACATTTTCCACCGTCTTAGTCCAGGTCTTCCAAGAAGGAGGTGCAAAGACAGGATTAAATATATGACAGTTTTTTTAAGGGAGATTGAAATTCTATGAAGGGAGATTTCATGTGGGAGAAAATGGGGAGGAAGCTGAGGAAAGGGGCAAGGGCTGTCAGACTGGGATGTGAGCCTGGTTCTGAGGGGGGGAGAGAGGGAAGGGAAGTTGGGAAGAAGCATCCTAGATCTCCATGCAGTCAAAGGGAAGTTCAGTAAGGTTGTCAGGAAATCCTTGAGCCAAGATCAGCCATCGGAGTAGTCCCATGTCTCCCAAGAATGGGTGCTCTCACTCTCCAGCTGGGAGCAGCCCCTGGAAAGCATCGTTGTGGGGCCAAAATGGCAGTAGATTTCAGAATGCAGTCGCTGAGGGCCAGGACCAATTAAATTCTTGGTCTGTGAGGTCTGTGAGGTACATTCTCATGGTCACTACCCGATGGCAATGAAAATATTAGTATCATATCAAATGGCTGTGTGTGTGTGTTGGTTATAAAGAATACTACAGTAAACATCTTTTTAATATACTATTTTATGTATAGTGTTAATGGATCAATTAATGTTTTTTTTTTAAAGCATCTTGATGAACTTTGTCAAATTGCTTTCAGATAAGGCTCTGATATTGCTGGACTGTGCGATTTGGGGAGACATGGGAATTATGGATGAATGGTTGGTTTGAGGCCAAATGCTGAAGGGTTTTGAATATCAGGTTGAGGTCTTTCAAATTTATTTTGTTTTATTGAAGAGCGTAGGCTGGAATGAAATTGAATTGATAATTTAACCCCTTTCCAATGCAGGCATGATATGGGCTGAATGTAAAGAAATTTGGACTCAAGGCCCCAAGGAATATTTGTTTGAGTTGTGGAATATGCTTGACTTTGGTATGTTAGCGATCTTTGCAGCATCATTCATTGCAAGATTCATGGCATTTTGGCACGCTTCCAAAGCTCAGAGCATCATTGATGCAAATGATACTTTGAAAGACTTAACGAAAGTCACATTGGGAGACAATGTGAAATACTACAATTTGGGTGAGTTTACAGTAAACAGTCAATATACGTTAATAAAAATGTAGAATTTTCTTCTAAAAGTACATGGCATTAGCAGTTTGGTTATTACCCATTCTCATTGAATTATTGGTTAGTTTCCAGCTTCTCCAGAGTATCTATATCTGAAGAAGCATGTGTTTTGCCTCTTCCCTCTATTTTTCTTCTGGTTGGAAACATCTCAGTCACAGGAATGATCTCACTGATCTCTTGGATCAGTTGGCTAACTATCAGACTCCATTGAGAATGCTTGCCTTGTGTCTTAGATTTATTTTCTCCTTGTCTCTATTAAACACACTACTCCTTGTTTTTTCATGTCCGGTTTGTTTGTTTTTGTTTTGTTTTGTTTTCAGATTCCACATATAAGGGACATCATACAGTGTTTTTGTCCTTCTCTGTCTCACTTAGCATAATGTCCTCAAGGTCCATCCATGTTTCACATATGACAGGATTTCCTTCTTTCTCATGATTGAATAATATTTCATTGTGTGTATATCACATCTTCTTTTAACTATTCATCCATTGGTGGCACTTTGGTTGTCTCCATATCTTGGTTGTCGTGAACAATGCTATAATAAATAATGGGAGCGCATAAAAAAACAAACAAAAAACCCCCCAGTATACATTTGAGTACCATTTCCATTTAAGACATATAGATTATTTGAAAGCAAGGGGATTGTGGGAATCTCTCAAAGGGCCCTCAATAAATGACACTACTGTTTCCCACCCAGGCTTTGAACTAGTTGAGAAATAAAACAAAAGGTTAATATGGAGGTCAGATCATCACCTCTACTACTGATAAAGTTCAGGGTAGATGACATAGTTTTGAGTCCTTAATCCACGGGCTCAGCAATATCGAACCCCCAGAATTAGGCAGACATATCTTCAAATTTCCAAACAATAATGGTCAGGGCAGTCCTCCCCTAAGAGGGGTATGGCAGCATGTGCCTGACCATGTGAGCGTCCTCCATGGAGGGCCAGAGCAGAATTCACAAGAAAAGGAGGACAGAGCTGAGCCAGGTATGCTCAGTTATCCATCCCAAGTCAACAGTCTGGTAAGTCATTCCACCTCCCCAGGAGGAGAGTGACTCAGGATGGAAATAGGTCCAGTTATTTGCCTAGGGAAAATCCCGTCTTGTAGAAACATGGAGTGGGAAAAATAGACTTCCTCTGTATACTTATTTTAAACCCTCTGATAAGAAATCAGTTAACATATTCATTGATATCTCTACCAGTTATTGGCGATATCACATAAGGATTTATTTTTTATTATTAACTTGCAGTATTTCTTTTACCATTTAACTACGGTTTTTAATATACAGAATTTTATAAAGTTAAAGCGATCTATCTGTTTATATGTAGTACTTATATTCAAAGCACTATGTATATGTTCTCAAAAAGGAAACTAATCCACTTCTCAGCAAGTAAACAAAGACACATTTATAATAATATTTTTCCTTTTTATTACACATTGTTTTTGCATTTTTCTTATGATGCTTTCTTAATTGGGTTTTTGATGACCTAACATAGTAATATATAGTAATTATATCAGGTCATCAAAATTAATAAATGCATAATTGCTCATTTTTATGATGAAAATAGACTTGAGTGACCCATAAAATTACTTTAGTAAATTCAAATAACTACAAGTATTCCACAAGCCCCAAAACACATAATAGTGTTATTATAGTTTAAGATTAAATAATAAATGCTACCATTTATTTAATGTCAACTACTTTCTAAACATGGAATGTGTATGTTTTTGTATTGAATTCTCACAACAGATGAGAGCGATAGAAGTGGTATTATCTCATTTTCAAGGACGGGAAAATAAAAACTAAGAGAAGTTAAATAATTTGTCCCAGCTTCCCTAGGCTATCTACTGGAATTTTTATATATACTGAGTTTGTAGTTTGAGCTCTTAACCATTATGCTATTCTCTTATGGAAAATTGCCAGCAAACCAACTAGGATGGTAATTTGCTCAATAAATTCACAAGCTCAATTAGACCTGATGCTTAAGGAAGCCCTTTAAGAACAGAGAATTCCATCGGGAACTAGATTGCTAATGTAATTACATTCTTAACCAGAAAAAATTACTTAAGTAAATAGCTTAAAGAAACTCACCATAACTCGTGTCTTCTTTTTTCCTAGCCAGGATAAAGTGGGACCCCTCTGATCCTCAAATTATATCTGAAGGTCTTTATGCAATTGCTGTAGTTTTAAGTTTCTCCAGAATAGCTTATATCTTACCAGCAAATGAAAGCTTTGGACCTCTGCAGATATCACTTGGAAGAACAGTAAAAGACATCTTCAAGTTCATGGTCATCTTCATCATGGTGTTTGTGGCCTTCATGATTGGAATGTTCAACCTCTACTCCTACTACATTGGTGCAAAACAAAACGAAGCCTTTACAACGTATGTGATCTCTCTCAGATGTTTTGATGATGGTGATTACAGATGAAAGAAATATGAGCTTAAATGATTACAGATTTAATAAATCTTGTGTAAAACAAAACGAGACCTTCATGATGTATATGTTGTCAAATGTTTTGATGGTGAAGATTGCAGATTAAATGAATGTTGGCTTAACAGTGTTTGCATATGTTCATGGGACAAATAGTGCTTTGATTTTCCTCTTCAGCAAAATGAGATTTGTAAATGAGTTGAAATAACTAAAAAATATAAGAACCTTCCCAATAGAAAGTGATAATAGCTAACACTTTTAGAGCCAGGTACTGTACTATGATTTTATTATTTCCATTTCATAAAAAGAGGAAACTAAGGTTCAGAAAGTTAAATACCTTGCTGAATGTTGTTGCACAGCTGCCAGCATTTGGAAAAGCTGGGACGTAACCCCTTGTCCACTGACTTCAGCATCTGTGCTCTTAACTGCTGGGGTGCTGACTGTGAGCACAGCTGCTTTCCTAATTTAATTTGTCAGATCATATTGAGATCTGAATTATCAACAGTGACAAGGGTTTTGGCTTATGTTCACCATAGACACACATGTTAGTTTGTTTTTAATAAAGTATGTTTGGAATTGATTACACAAATATTAGGTCCTCAGTGTCACCATCAGAAGCATCAACTGGAGCATAACCTATTGTTACCCATATTTTTGTGAAGTGCGGTTTATCAGAGAAATGAACAAACAGGCTTAGCTTTGCTCAGTAATTATGCCTAAAGTATTGAAATACCTACCAAGACATGTCAGTGATTTTGATAACAGTGTATATCTGTAATAGTCTATGTTTATATTGTCATATTTTCCTTAAGACACATACTATTGTTATCTACTCTTTATTGCATATAAGTGGAAGTATAGATGAGCAGGAAACTTAAAGGGGCTCTAACAAATTGAACTGTTATTATTAAGTGATACATTTAACACTTTCATTGCCTAAGCTATGGATTATTTAAATGTTAACATTTGTAGTTATGAAGTCATGTTAATAACATTTATTGAGTACTTATTATGTGCCAGATATTGTGCTGTATGCTTTGTATGCACAATATTATCTCATTCTTGCAACAATCCTGGAAATAAAAGTTATTGTTCCCATTTTATAGAAAAAAACTGAGGTTTAGGGAAGTAAAGAGTTTTTTTCATGACTACCTAATAATTTGCAAAGACATTAAATTTACTCACTTTTATTATGGAACCACTGTCAGTTATTTATATTCTTCATGATTTCCTTTCTCTATCTTTTTCCCCCCAGAGTCGAGGAGAGTTTTAAGACACTGTTCTGGGCTATATTTGGACTTTCTGAAGTGAAATCAGTAGTCATCAACTATAATCACAAATTCATTGAAAACATCGGTTATGTTCTTTATGGCGTCTATAACGTTACAATGGTCATTGTTTTGCTAAACATGTTAATTGCAATGATCAACAGTTCATTCCAGGAGATTGAGGTATAATCTCTATACCTTTGTGTACTGCGTGCCTACATGTTTTAACTATTGTGTACTCTGTGCCTACATGTTTTAACTCAGCAATGGTGATGAAAATCCAGACTTCTTTCCCTCCTTTGTTCTTTCCCTGTTTTATATAATTGTTTGACCAGTAAGCTAGTCTTTGCTTCCAAATGTAACATCAGTGGATGTGTTGGGGGAGTAAGACATAAGGAGGAGAAATGCTGTCTGATTCTTCATTGTTAAAATATTTAGAACTGCTATATCAGTTTTAATTTATATTTTATTCAAAAATGTATTGCTTATGAACACCACTGCTATCCAAATCTTTTTGTATGTTTTTTTAAATCCTCACCTAAGTATATTTTTTCCATTGATTTTAGAGAGAGTGAAAAGGAGGGGCAGTGAGGGAGAGAGAGAGAGAGAGAGAGAGAGAGAGAGAGAGAGAGAGAAACATAGATCTGAGAGAGGCACACCAATTGCTTGCCTCCTGCCCTGACCAGGTATGTGACCTTGACCGAGAATCAAACCCGGGACCCTTCAGTGTGTGGGCTGTCGCTCTAACCACTGGTATACTAGTACACAGGCCAGGGTCTCCAAATCTCTTTGAGTGAGGTTCGTAATTGACATTTTCTCAAATTTAGAATGATTATAAATTTTTATTACAGAAACCTCGGCCTGTGAGTTAATCAAATAAGTCATTTGTTGCAGAATAAAAGAGTGACTAATTTTTATAGTGCTTTTTAGAATGTAGGAAAATACATTTATACATTCCAGTGTATTTATAAACACATGCAGATTTTGAGATCTGTAGTCCTGTTAGCCTGACAAAATTTTAGACATATTTAGGGGAGTGTGTGAGTAGAATCAACCCTTTGAAAAAGTCTTGGAGCAGTCTTTGGGGTCTGGGAGTGTTTGCAGGCGTCATTACTTTAGCGAGGCACACAGTGTTGGAGATATCCCAGTAAGTTTGTTTATGCATCTCCTTGCTGAACTGTCATGTGTCTTTGTATAGGATGATGCTGATGTGGAATGGAAGTTTGCAAGGGCCAAACTTTGGTTTTCCTACTTTGAGGAGGGAAGAACTCTTCCTGTTCCCTTCAACCTGGTGCCGAGTCCGAAGTCCCTGTTTTATCTTGTACTGAAGCTCAAGAAATGGATTTCTGAGCTGTTCCCGTGTCATAAAAAGGGTTTCCAGGAGGATACTGAGATGAACAAGGTAATTTGACTTGATAATTGTTTATTGTATTTTAAAATGCTGTGGCTATTTACACTTGATCTTAGCCAAAAGGCTGAGAAGCGATAAATGCTGTGGCTATTTAATTTTTTTGAAATATGTTTTGTTTATTTTTTTAGAGAGAGAGGAAGGGAGAGGGAGGGAGGGAGGGAGAGAGAGAGAAACACTGATTGGCTGCCTCCTTCACGCCCCCGACTGGGGATGGAGCACACAACCTAGGCATGTTCCCTGACTGGGAATCGAACCACTGACTGCCTGGTGCATGGGTTGATGCTCAACCAACTGAGCCACAATGGCCCAGGCAAATACTATGGCTGTTACAACTACTGTAAAAAGAAGCAGTCCATTATAAGATGCCCATTTATTCCTTATGTAGTCAGTTAGCTCAGCATGGTCTTTTGGCTTATGGCTGTTTAACAGGAGCACATTGGACATGTCCTACTTAAAAGAATGTAAGAAAATTACATGAAATGTGACTAAAATAATGTAATACATTATTTGGAGCAGATACTGAAAGGGAGAGCTTTTCTGGGGCCCATTTTTGCACTTGTGGCCATTTGTCTCTCACCTCACTTTCAATTTATACAGCTAGGCAACGCATCAGTAGCTGATTATGACTTGGGGGAATTTGACTCTTAAGTAACTTCTACATTGGAAAGTTCAGAAATCAACTGCTCACCTGCATTATGGGAGACTAGGCTTGCAGTAAGTAGTTGAGGAAAGAAAGATGTAAGGCTACTAATTGGAAACAAGAATCCCATGAGGCAATGCAATCTCAAGAAACCATAAAAGAGGGATATTGCTTGGATGAAGGGCTAGGAGGATCACAGTATGTTCAGAAATGTTTAGAGAACATGTGGAATGTTGTATATAATTGTGTGTGTGTGTGGGGGGGGGTTACTCCACGCAAAAACCCCTGCTGGGTGCAGAACTCTACATCCGGGAGGACTAGAGGCACCCGGAGGAGGAGTACCTGGATGGGGACAGGTGTGGATAGGATGTCAGATGATGGGGAATTCAAGGAACTGGCTATTTCACTGGAAGAAGGAGGACTGAAGGGGAACATGAATATCTTTTGAATTCTCACTTTTGACTCGGAAGTACAATTGTTTTGTTTCTGTCCCTTCAAAAATAGGAAGAGAGGCAATAGATGAAAGTTGCAAATAGTTCAATTTTAGGTCTATGTAAAAACAAACTTGTAACAAAATCTGCCCAAAAGGGTGGTGGGCTGTCTTATGAAGAAATAAGCCTCCTATCACTGAAAGTAATCAATATGCCCGACGGCCAACATTAGAATACATATAGGAGATCTTCCTACACTGGGTGGTCAATTAAGCCAAATGTGTAAAAGGTCCTTGCAATGATAAGATTTTGTCATTGAATAAAAAGAAAACATTCTAATTCCTACTCCATTTGCTACTTGGGGTTCTCAAGTGAATAATAAACTGTCTGAGCTCTAGTTTTATCAACTGCACTATGGGAATAAAGGTTATATCTACATTACGAAGATCAAATCAAGTCAGTATGCAAAAGTGCTTTGAGAATGCTAAAGCCCCTTTCAAATATCATTACTTTTACGATTATTTTGTGTTAGAATTTTGGAAAAATATGCCATTTTTCCAGATGTATAACATAGAACTCAGTGGGTTGAGTAGCAAAAACTTTCCTTACTTAATAACATTGTGATTAGAGCTGCGATCTGAGAGAATTCCATGTGCAAAGGACATGTCTAAGCACTTACAAAAGGGAAGACCCCAATAAGAGCCCAATAAGAGTATTTTTCTCCC